CCAGTATGTTGGAACCAGTAGGACTGTGATCTCTTTGCCATGGCCAGGGCTCTGAGGAGCATAGTGACCAGTTCACCGTGTATGCTTGGGCAGCAACCCGAATCTATTTCTAGTTCTGACTTTGTGTTTAGACTTGGTATTCTGTATGCAGTCAGATTGAGCCACTGTGATCCATGCCTTAGTTACATCTAGACTGGACTACTGCGATGCACTCTGCTTGGGTCTTACCCTTGAAGAGTGTTTGGAGGCTGCAGCTAGCCTTAGTTTCATCTAGGCTGTGGTCAGATGACAGGCTTGGCATGGTCTGGCCATGCCTCTAATCTCTCTGGAACTGCTTGTTCTGGAGAATTTTGACCAGGCAAGCCACCCTGATATCGCCTCACCCGTGGTCGACTGATCAGACTACTGCTGCATGGTCACCACAGAGTGGGAGGGCAGCTTCTTCTTTTTTTAAAGTCTACTTTGTGCATGCACAGAACCACTTATGTGCATATCGCTGTGGGAGTAAATGGCGGTCAGGGAGTGGAAGCATTCAGATCTCCCAAATGGCTTGAGCGCGCAATGGAGAGATCAGACATCCAGAAATGTGTGGTGAGAGCAATTTGATCCATAAATACTGGACCATCTCCGGTATCGGGAAAGTTGGGGGTAAGGACGGGGGGCTGGTGACTGGAGAATAGGAGACAGATGTCACTGTCTGGACGTGCACGTCAAATCCGGTAGGGAGGAGCGACGACATCGGCTAAAACTGCTCATCTGATCACAGCCCGAGACTGGACTACTGCAGTGCACTCTACTTGGGGCTACCCTTGAAGAGTATCTGGAGGCTGCAGCTAGTGCAGAATACTGTGGCTAGACTGCTGATCCAGGCCAGTTACCAGGAGCATATGGTCCCAGGACTACATCAGTTACATTGGCTACCGACCTTGTCCTGAACCCAATTCAAGGTGTTAGTTTTGACCTTTAAAGTGCTCCATAGCTTGGAAGGGGGGTATCTGAAGGACCATCTTCTCCCCTGTGTTCCTGCCTGGGAATTCAGACTACCTGGAGAGGCCCTTTTGACTGTCCCATCGAGCAAAGAAATTCATCTGGTGGGTACAGGCAGCCCCAGATTTATGGGACAATCTCCCCAGGGAGGTGCACCTGACCCCCTAACTCTCAATCTTTAAGAGGCAGCCGAGACAGTTTTATTCCAAACAGCATTCAATAAGTTCCCCCTCCCCATCAATTGGTAGTTTTAAATTGCGACTCAACCGGGATGGAAAATGCCCACTTTTTGCTGTATGCGGACGACACGCTCCCATTATCACGCACTCTGCTGGGTTTACGTAAGCCATTAAAAGGATTTGCAGAATACCGTGTTGAAGAAGGTCTAGTCATAAATATGCAAACCTCAAATATTATGGTGTTCGCTAAATCATGTACCTCGCCAGTATATTGGCGGTTCGTAAATGGACAACCAATTGAACAAGTAAAGCAATTTAGGTATGGGGGGAGGTCATCTTTCAGTCAGATTTGAGCTGGATGGTCCCATCTGACTGGCGCTATCAAAAAAGCTAGATTCACCAGTGGTAATGCAATTACTCAGTTCTTCTTCACCTGAGGTGGCAATTACATAGCGGGTGCCATTCAGGTATTCAATTCTCAGGCAGTACCCCAATTATTGAATGGAATTGAGGTCTTGATAGAGGCACAGGATGAATCATTCAATCGACGACTGTTACAGTTTATCTGCAAGATCTGCTGTGTATCAAGCTGTGTTCCAGGTATTGCAAGAAGAAGAAAGAGGAGGAGGAGGAGGAGACTGGACTTATACCCCACCCTTCTCTACCTAAAGATGTCTCAGAGCGGCTTACAATCCCTTTCCCCACAACAGACACCCTGTGAGGTAGGTGGGGCTGAGAGAGCTCTCTCAAGCCAGTTTGGTGTAGTGGTTAGGAGCACAGACTCTAATCTGGGAGAATCGGGTTTGATTCCCCACTCATCCACATGCAGCCACTGGTGTGATCTTGGGTCAGTCACCAGTTCTCTCAGAGCTGTTCTCTCAAGGGCAGTTCTCGAGAGAGCTCTCTCAGCCCTGCCGACCTCACAGGGTGTCTGTTGTGGAGAGGGGAAGGGAAAGGAGTTTGTACGCCGCTCTGAGACACCTTCGGGTAGTGAAGGGCGGGGTATAAATCCAACCTCTTCTCTTCTTCTTCGAGGGCTGCCCTTGAGAGAACAGCTCTGAAAGACCCAAGGTCACCCCACCAGCTGCATGTGGAGGAGTGGGGAATCAAACCTGGTTTTCCCAGATTAGAGTCCGCGCTCCTAACCACTACACCAAACTGGCTCTTAGAGCTGAATTGGCCCAGAATTTATTGGAAGCTAGGATTGCCAGGTCCAGTGTTCCCTCTAAGCTGAGTTAGGGTGAGCTAGCTCACTGTTTTTATAGCCTCTGGCTCACACACATTTTTGTCTTCGCTCAGGAAGGATGGCTCCAGAGGAGCAAACTAATTTATGCTGTAGCCAAAACACCTGCTCACAACTTTAATGCCAGCGGCTCAGAAAGTAGAATTTTTGCTCACAAGACTCCGCAGCTTAGATGCAGTGTTCCCTCTAAGCTGAGTTAGTGTGAGCTAGCTCACTGTTTTTATAGCCTCTGGCTCACACACATTTTTGTCTTCGTTCAGGGAGGAGGGCTCCAGAGCAAACTGATTCATGCAGCAGCCAAATCACCTGCTCATAACTTTAATGCCAGTGGCTCAGAAAGTAGAATTTTTGCTCACAGGACTCCACAGCTTAGAGGGAGCATTGGCCAAGTCGCTTATTGAGGGCACAGCATGCACACTCGCCAGCATGCGTTGAGGTTCCCTTCTCTTATGCTGTTCTGAGCGACTTAAAAGTTCTAACGATCCCTCATAATAGAAGAGCGTTTATGGTCGCTCGGTTAAACTCTTTTCCCTCAGCCATACTGATTTGCAGATATACAGATTCCACTAGTAGAAAACGCCATCAAAGATTGCCAAAAATAATATAGTAAACAATAGTAATAATATAATATAGTGAAAAATAATATGGTGAAAAATAGCAAACTCCTGACAACCTAGCAGTTCGAAAGCAAGAAATTGCAAGTAGATAAATAGGTACCACTTCGGTGGGAAGGTAACAGCGTTCCATGCGCCTTGGTGTTTAGTCATGCCGGCCACATGACCACGGAAACGTCTTCGGACAGCGCTGGCTCTTCGGCTTTGAAACGGAGATGAGCACCGCAACCCTAGAGTCGGATTCGACTGGCTTTCGAGCAAGGGAACCTTTACCTTTACTGTAAACAATTATAAAGTTGGTGGTGTGTCACAACAATAGGAGGAGTCCACGTTGTTGTTGTTGTTCAGTCGCACAGTCGAGTCCGACTCTTCGCGACCCCATGGACTAGATCAAATCCGCATGGTCAAAGCAATGGTATTCCCAGTAGTCATGTATGGCTGCGAGAGTTGGACTATAAGGAAGGCCGAGCGCCGAAGAATAGATTCTTTTGAACTATGGTGCTGGAGAAGACTCTTGAGAGTCCCTTGGACTGCAAGAAGATCAAATCAGTCAATCCTAAAAGAAATCAACCCTGACTGTTCCCTGGAAGGCCAGATAATGAAAATGAAGCTCAAATACTTTGGCCACCCACTGAGAAGGGAGCACTCACTTGAGAAGACCCTGATGCTGGGAAAGATTGAAGGTCAAAGAAGACGGGGACGGCAAAGGATGAGATGGTTAGACAGTGTCAGAGATGCAACAAACATGAAACTGAGCAAACTTCAGAGGACAGCGGAAGACATAGTCATAACATTTTCCAAACAGCCTTTACAAAGACGCCCATTCCAGAACCTATGATTCGCTTCTTACACTATAAACCTTGTGGTCTGTCGAAATTGCTGGAATCAGGTTCCACTTACACAGCCGGGAATCTTCCAAGTATCTAGAACGGGCGTCTTTGCAAAGGCTGTTTGGACAATGTTATGACTATGTGGATTTCTCCTATCAAGTTACACTGACGACATGGACTTTATGTCTTATCTTCAAAGGAGGAAATATTGCATCTTAAATCTTATTACAGTTACAGTATGCATTAATGTTGTTGTTGTGACACCACCAACTTGTTTAATATATTATTTTGGCAATCTTTGATGGTGTATATTTGGGACTCCTGTAACACTAGTCTTTTTCCCTTGATGTTTGGATATACTGATTTGCAAGCATAGCATATTTGGAGTTTTTAAATGTGGATATGGTCAGCTTGAGTCCTTAGAACATACTTTACTGGAGTGTAAAATCCCTTTCAATAGCTTATGTGAATTTACCATCTGGGGGAAAAAACCCAGTCCAGTTTTTCTTCGTAGATGAGGATCGGAAAACTACCTTAGCAGTTGCGAAATATTTAGCTGCAGTGCTTGCCTGTAAGAGGGTTTGTAAGCAGCTTACAATCTCCATTCCCTTCCCCTCCCCACAACAGACACCCTGTGAGGGAGGTGGGGCTGAGAGAGCTCTCTCGAGAACTGCCCTTGAGAAATCAGCTCTGAGAGGACTTGTGACTGACCTAAGGTCACACCAGCAGCTGCATGTGGAGGAGTGGGGGAATCAAACCCGGTTCTCCCAGATTAGAATCCGCACTCCTAACCACTACACCAAACTAGCAGCACCCATTAATTGATATTTCTTAAATCTACTGATATTATTGCTCTCCTCCCGCTATCAGGAAATATCAGGAAATGAGGCTCTAACTGCTTGGCAATATTGCCCCTCTTAAGGAGCATCACAGCAGAGCCAGAAAGGGGGAAAGTGTCTGCCCCAGTAGCCTGGTTAGAAGCAAGAGGAAAGAAGCGGCTTCAGCCACACACTAACCAAAGGCAGGAAGCCCTTTGGGGCTAAAGCGATAGGCACCCGACACCCTGTACTTGAAACTCAGTTGAAACTTTATTTTTTTTTAATAAAATAAGTTATATTAAAACTTTTAAATTAAAATAAATCTGCTCTAGACTCAGAAACACTCGTGTGCACATACAAAGACAGCGAGGATCCAGTCTCTCTCTCTCTTTTTCTCTCTCTATTAGAAAATACATCCTAGGCCTCAAGTGCATCAGAGAACAATGATTCTGCCGAGGGTTCTTTGCCGGTGCTTGGGGGGCGGCCGGGGAAGCGGGGGTCAGGCGCTGAAGCTTCCTTTCCTTCACAGTGGCTCCTCAGAAGAAGAGGCAGCGGCTAAGCATCCAGGACATCTTCCTCGTCGCTCCAGTCCAGAGGAGCGTCCGTGCCAAAATAGCGGTCTCCGAAGTTTCCTAGCC